TACAACCGGTTGCCCACTTCCCCACTTGCCCTAATCTTTTCTTTTCCAATTTCCTCATTCAACTCATTCACAAGACGCCATTGCCAACCAAACCATCTCCTTTGTTGTTGTACTGTCTCAATCATAAACTATCTTACCTGCGTTGGGCTTTTGTCGTCTTTCAGAGTACCACCAAGGAGATCTGTCACCGTCATCACTGATCAATGCACCACCAGACATCATTCATTGCACCGCCACTATTTGTAAATTTCCACATCTTCAACATGAGATACGCACCACCATGCCTCACTATTCGTGGAACCTTGTGCAATTACCATCGTTGTTTTGATCCAGTCCCTGGGCACCTGCTGCTGCTTTCTGTTGTTTTCAATTGCAATACAAATCGTATCCTTCTGCCCCTGTCTGCAATACTCTAGACTCCATGTTTCCTTCTACCTTTCTCTCTTGCTAGAAATCTAAATAAAAGCCTCCTTCCAACAGCTAGATTGAGACTACCTATCACTTCCATCACGACCAATATGCTGCTAGTAGCACTGCCACCGGCGTCATCTCTCCAATTAGCTCTTGTGCCTGTAAGGATTTAATTCTACTTTTCAATAACAATACTCTTCTTTATGTATGTTATTATGGTTAGTTATTTATTTTCTATAATCTATGTTAAAGTTTAGCTTATGAGTTAATGCTTCTGTGTGACATTTTTCGATGGGCACATCATTTATATATAATTATATATATCCTACCTTGGAAGTTTAGTTTAGGCATTGTCGTCGCCGCATTGTTGTGAAAAATTAGATTTTATTCTTATTCAATTTTTTTTAATTAAATGACTACTTTTAAAGTTGATCTTGTTTACGTGGATGGTGGTTTTAATCTCATCTTGTTTTCTTGTAGAAGTTTTGGTGGAGAAATATTAGTTTGCTACTAGTTGGATGGTGTTTTAGGGTCTCATTTAATAGTGTTGCTCCGTCTTGCAACTAAGCCCCTGTTCGAGCTCCATTCATTTTCCACAAAAATCGTACCAGTTGGAAATGATGGTTTCTGTTTCAGTTGTGTTTCATTGATCCTGGAATTGCAACTGAGAGGAGCTGGAGAAGCTAAAAACCTTGGACAGCATTTGTGTTGAATTCTAATTAGAAATCTAGATTTGGTCTTGCTATAAATAACTTGGTACGGTTACTTGTTATAAAAAACTTGGTTGTTGATACAGTTTTTTTAATATAGCTGCATTATGTTGAGTTTATTTCTTTATTATACTGTTAGTTGCATATGATTAGGGGATAAACTTTGCTGGACACCTTAAAAACAACTTTCAGTGCTTAGCTTCTAGGATTTGTCTTGCACCCATTATCATCGTGCTGTATCTTCTTATTCGAATTAGCCTTAGTCTAACAGTATATTTCTGCCCATCTCTAATTCATTGTCTGGCATTCTTATTCTGAACATTCTGACTTGAGCTTCATCTTTAATTTTTCCATTAAGAGTTTGAAATGAATTAGAGATGATTTTGGTTACTATAACTTCTAATGACACTGGGGAAAGATGAAAAATCATTCTTGTTTAGGAAAGACAGCAAATGAGATTATTTGTGAATCATGACATTATGCTCATTACTTTTTGTTTACATAATGACTTGCGAATAACATTCTTAACAATTGTTTGTTATTTGCACAGATGTCTGGCCCAAGTAGTGCTGGAACCAATACGTGAGGAAGATAGCACGACCAATGTACCGGAGAGCAATGTCCTACAAGAAGATCCAGTTGAATTATTACCAAATGTGGATGAAAGGACAATAAACCTAAGTGACGAGGAGCGTGATATTGGAGAAATATCATTTGGAAAGAAGAAATTTACTTCAACTGTGTGGGAGCACCACAAAAGATAGAAAATTGGTGAGAAATGGAAGGCTATATGCAATCATTGCAAGAAACAGTTAGGGGGTGAAACAAAAAACGGTACAAAGCATTTGCATGATCATTTGAAGAGATGTGTATTCCGTTATAAGGATAATACTCACCAAGCAACATTAAATTTCAAAAAGGATGCCACGAGTGACAAGGTCAGAATGGGTACTTACTCTTTCGATCAAGAGTTCTTGCACGACCTACAACCATTTTTTAAGGTTCCTTCTCGCAACACTTTGAAGAGCTACATTTCGAAAATCTATGAATACGAGAGAGCCAAAAATATGATTGCACTTGAGAATATTGAGAGTAGAATTTCGATCACTACCGACATGTGGACTTCTTCTAATCAAAAGAGAGGATTCACGGTTATCACTGCTCATTTCATAGATGATGCGTGGAAATTACAGAGTCGAATCATGAGGTATAGTAAAACATTACATTCACTTGTTCTCATAATTTACCAAAATGATATTCTTTTAGTTGATTTAATTTGTTTTGAATAAACTCAAGTTTATATATGTGTCGTGCCCACACATTGCTGATGTGCTTTCAGAAACTCTATTAAGCAGCTTGATGGACTGGAATATTGATCATAAATTACTAACTTTGACAGTAGATAATTGCACCACAAATGATGCAATGATTAGTATTGTGTTAAGTCAACTTTGTACTCGTTCTCTTGTACTGAATGATGAATTTTTTCAAATGAGGTGTTGTACACATATATTAAATCTTATTGTGAAGGATGGGTTGGACATTATTAGTGGTAGTGCTGAGAAAATTCGTGATAGTGTTGCTTATTTGACAGCCATGCCAAAGAGATCTGAAAAATTTGAGCTCTTTGCACGTCAATTGAAAATTGATTGTGAGAAAAAATTGGTGCTTGATTGTAAAACAAGGTGGAATTCGACGTATTTAATGCTTAGTACTGCTTTGATTATAAGGATGTTTTTCCGCATTTGAAATAGAGGGAGTCACAATATAAATGTTTCCCTAGTAATGGTGATTGGGATTTAACAAAAGAAATATGTGAGAAGTTAAAGGTTTTTTTTAGGTTACTGAATTGTTTTCAGGAACAAAGTATCCAACTACTAATCTCTTATTTGCAAATGTTTGTAATATCAAACTGTCGTTGTATGAGTGGCTTGAATCTCCTTATGTGGAAGTTCAAATGATGGCAACCAATATGATGAAAAAGTTTAATAAGAATTGGAGCGATATTCATGGAGTTTTGGCTTTAGCAGCAATATTGTATCCGAGGTATAAGATGATGTTAGTTAAGTTTTATTATCCTCATATTTTTAATCACAATGCTGCAAGTGAGATTGACAAAATATATCAAGTTTGTGGCAAATTGGTGCACGATTATTAGAAAAAGAATGATTCAAGTGGGTCTTTAGCTCAGTCTTCTACTTCTTCTTGTCAAATTGAGAAGTCAAGTGCTAATAGTAAATCAGATCGCATGGCAAATTTTTATAAATTTGTTTCTAATGTTGAAGCTCCTAGTAGTGTGAAAATCGAGCTTGATACTTTTTTGGATGAGTCTATATTACCTTGGTCGAATGATTTTGATATACTGACATGGTGGAAAGTGAATTCAATCAAATATCCGACTTTATCTGGAATTGCAAAAGATATTTTGGCCATCCCGATATCTACTGTGGCATCCGAATCTGCTTTCAGTACTAGTGGTATATTTGTTAGTCCACACAGAAATAAACTTCACCTCAAAACTTTGGAGGCTTTAATGTGTGCTCAAGATTGGTTATGGGCCGATATTCACGGTACGATGTATAGAAACATTTGTTTTTTATATTGTTTCTTTTATGAATTTTCTTATTAGTAATTATTTTATTTTATTAATAGTGAATTCTGCGCCGTTTGCATATTTGGAAGTTGCTTCAAGATGAATGATGAGGATGTTGATGATGAGGTAATTTTATTTATTACATAATTTAAATTTTAATCATAGTTATTATGAATTTATGAAGATATTGAGTATAATATTTCTTTCATTTTTCAGGATCCATCTTTTACAATCTCTGAACTTGCCGATGAATGAAGTTATAAAGATGAAAAAACATCAAATTTATTTTTGGATAAAGAAGTGAAATTTAGTTACAATGTAATTGTATTTGTAATTGTTTATTTTCGGATATTGTTTGTTTCGAGTATTTATGTTAGCGTTTTTAAATTGTGAATTCGAGGGGGGTGAATAAAACAGGGCACCAAACCCCCCTCCCCTCCCCCCCATTGTCATCCCTAATTTGGACTCACTGTCCCCCTCAGACAACAAATTTTGTAAAAGGTTTTCCTTATCAATACTTTGACCATGTACACTTGCAGAATCAACCAAAGAAGTCAATTCAATTCGCTTAAATTCCTGCAAATTATAGCCACCACTTGGAAGAAAACCAAACTCATCTTTTCCCTGAACAATCAAATCTAGTTTCCCAATCAAACCCTTTATCTTCAGATTAATTTCACGACGCCCAACAACATGTTTGAAGCATAAACAAATAGATTGAATAAATGAAATTATCTTCTCCCAAGAATCAAAAATTTCCTCAGATCCTTCAATTTGCAGTTGAAGATTCGCGGTTTCCCATTCATCCAAAGCGTCATCCATTTCATAAGATACATCTTAGAGTTCTTTT